AAAAGTCAATCTTCGCTATATTAAATCGATTTGATTGCATCATCCATAATTTCTTCATTCCTTTATTTATCTGGCTCTCAAATAGACCTCCCGACATCTGCCAGGTACCATCCTAGCTGCTGGGAAACCCTGATGTACAGCACATCACAGCTGTCTCAAAGCTTATTGAGTTTGGTCATATAGCAAGCATAGAATTATGGTGGTTTGTTATACAGTGGTATAAAATATCTCATTTTATAGCTAAATTTGAAAAGATCTTCATTTAAATTGTATATGACAAAAAAATTACACAAAATGCTGAAATTGTTATTTTTGGAGATGCAAGTTTTCTGGATGTATGAGGACTTGACACTGTAGGCCCTCTTATTCTTTTTTAAAATCGTGCCCATAAATCCCACGCCATATTACTAACATCTTGTATTAGCATGGTATACTTGCCACAAATAATGAATCAATACAGACATGTTATTATTAACTAAAGTCTATTGTTTATTTAGATTTTTAAAATTTCTATCTGATGTCTTTTTCTGTTCTGGGACCACATCCAGGACACCACATTGTGTTTAGCTGTCATGTCTGCCCAGGCTCTATCAAGGTGACAATTTCTCAGACTCCCCTTGGTTTGAGTGACCTTGATAGTTTTGACGAATACCGTCAGGTGTATTTTAGCCTGTTTTTTTCATGATTAGATCAAGGTTGTGGGTTTGGGGTAAGCAGACCACAAAGGTGAAGTATATTTTCATCACGTCATATCAAGGGTACATGCTATCTTTTTTTTTAAATTGAGTCTCACTCTGTTGCCCAGGCTGGAGTGCAGTGGCACAATCTCGGTTCACAGCAACCTCTGCCTCCCAGGCTCAAGCGATTCTCCTGCCTCAGCCTCCCAAGTAGCTGGGATTACAGGCATGTGCCACCATACCTGGCTAATTTATTTTTAGTAGAGATGGGGTTTTGCCATGTTGAACAGGCTGGTTTTGAATTCCTAACCTCAAGGAATTCGGCCACCTTGGCCTCCCAAAGTGCTGGGATTACAAGTGTGAGCTACCACGCCTGGCCAAGGGTACGTACTATCAACATGACTTATCAGCGTTGGAGTTAAACTTGATTACCTGGCAGAGGTCGTGTTTGCTGGGTTTTTACACTGTAAAGTTCCTCTGTTTTGCCCTTTTTGTATACTGTATTCTTTGAAAGGAAGGGTATCACTCTGTGCCCATACTGAAGGAGTGGGAAGGCTTTGCTCCCTCTCCTTGAGGGTGGTGTATCGACACAAATTATTTGAAATTCTTCTGCATGGGAGATCTATCTTTTCTCCCACATTTCTTTATTTATTCAACTATGTATTTATGTCAGTATAACTCAGATATTATTTTGTATGTTGGGTTGTAATACAGTACTATTATTTCTTGCTCAACTTGTTTCGGCTCTGACCATTGAGAGCTCTTTTTATTGGCTCCTGGATTCTTTTGATATGCTTTCAAATTACTCTGTGTGTGTGTGTGTGTGGTTTTCTGGTTTGAACTCTTCCTTGCTTTCTGGCACTACAGGTTCTTTGTGTATGTTTTCTGCCTGAGTCCTAGAATCAGTCATTTCTCCAGTGATTCCTGGTTTCTTTTACTAGAGAGAATAGTATTAGAAATCGAGAGCTGGCACTAGGTATGCTTGTTGCTGCTGGGGTGCTATTGCATCTAGGCCATCTCACCTGGCCCTCAATTTTGATGATAATTTTAAGCATTTGAATACAAATCTTGATAAAATATATTACACAATTTTATGCATTCAAAATGGAATATAATCAACATAATCTAACCTGTTCTTGGATGTTTTCTTTAATGCTGGTTATCTGGTTGGGATGCAGTGCTCACCCTGGTCCCCTTAGCACTTTGAAGACTGTTCATACACTGTGACTACACACTGTTGTGCTGTTTGAGTTGTGTTCTTTTTGTGATCATTCTCATTTTTTTCTTTTTGATATCTTTAGAAACCCCCTCTCCTCCCCTCCAATTTACTGTGCATAATCAACTGTGTTGATTTTAGAGCACTCTAAGGTGCAGTGAAAGGAGCAGGAGCCTTGAAATCAGTAGATCTGAAATGCAGTTGCGCTCTGGCCCACTTGCTCTGTGACTCTGGCAGCTCACTCAGCGCCTTTGGCCTTAGTTATCTGATATAAAATGAAACGGTTAGCCTGGATAACTCCTAGGTTTCTCTCCAGCTCTGATGTCCCATGAGCTTTATTAATCTTAGGAGAGTAATGTGGTCAGATGGGCAGGAGAGCATGTAATCTCAGTTAAGCTGCCTACAGACTGAGTGACCTTGGGGGAGTCACTCTGAAAGAACCTATCTTGGAGATTCACAAGTGTACTTGTGGCCACTTATATAATGAAAGAGACACTACAAATAAAGGGAGGAAGCCTGGATTGTGTGTGGATAGTATCAGAACGACTAGATCACAGTATGGTGGGAAAGAAAACTGGATCTCCACATCAGGTCACTAGATGGATTAAATTCCAAAATGAGAAATTAAATTACAAAGGTATAGAAGAAAATTTAGGAGACTATCTCTGTGATTGGGGGTGGGAAAGGTTTTTAACAGATTTCAAAAACACAAGCTTTAAGACTTAAAAAAAACAGATGAAATCAATTCCATCAAAATTAGATGTATGCCAGCAGTGTAGATGGATCTGAAATAGGAGAACAGGAAAAAATAAGATACGATATGTAGCAATATCATTTGCAAAATAAAATCACATTCACATGAACCAGCAATGTATATTTTGCTAGAACACGTGCACATAAAAGGATAGACTTTAAGAGGTCTATGGAGAGGAGGCGGGGTGGAAGCGGAATCAATCAAAGTGAATCTAGGCCGGGTGTGGTGGCTCATGCCTGTAATCCCAGCACTTTGGAAGGCCAAGGCAGGTGGATCACCTGAGGTCAGGAGTTTGAGAGTAGCCTGGCCAATATGGTGAAACCCCATCTCTACTAAAAGAACAAAAATTAGCTGGACGTGGTGGTAGGCACTTGTAATCCCAGCTATCTGGGAGGCTGAGGCAGGCGAATTGCTTGAACTCAGGAGGTAGAGGTTGCAGTGAGCTGAGATCACACCATTGCACTCCAGCCTGGGCAAGAAGAGCAAAACTTTATTGAAAAAAAAAAAAAACTGAATCTACACCTAAATAAACAAATGCAACCAGATAAGGACCTTGCATGGCTGTCTGATGTTCATGTGAGAGAGATATATACATACTTGAACATGCATATATTTTTTACTATACGTTGCATAAATGTCGCCCTCCCTAGACTGTGAGCTCCCTGAGGACAGAAACTAGCACTCAGCACATAACAGGCATTTATATTGGAGGAATGAATGAATGAAAGTATACAGGCTTCCTCTGCCATAGGTGCTTTCCTGGGATTCTGCGGCAGACAACTCACAGAAACTTTAAAAAATGTGGTCCTGGAATATTCCTTAGAAATTATCAGGCTCAGTGGTGACCTGACCTCTGAATTTCATAAATGGAGTTAAGAACAGGTGGATGGACTGAAAAAAAAAACATGTTGCATACTCCAGGTCAGACCACCCACCTTTTTCTAAAGCCATGTGTGGGCTAAAAAACCCAGTATTATTTTTCACAAAAGAAAGGGCTTGTAAACATCATTAGGTAAGAAAAATATCAAGTACTATGAGGATTAAAAGAACTATTAAGATAGATTGAGGATATCAGAACAGGATTCTGAAAGGAGCCAATAGTTGAAGTAGCCCTTGAATGGTGATTTTTTCAATAAATTTTAAAGGGTAGCACATTCAACAAAATAGCTTAATAAAAAATTCATAACATTCTTCCCATTTTTCTCACTTCTCCATGGGAACCTCATTGCAATGTGGCTCGTTATCATGAGCAAATGAGCTGGTCCAACTTCAGAGAGTTAGTGTCTTAGCTTGTTCTGATAGATCTAGAGCTGCCATCCTAGTTTCTGACTCACAGGGAATCTTTCTGCAACCCAGCACACTAAGTTCTTCTGAAGGAAGCTCCCAAGATTCTACTAAGTCCTGGTGGAAAATTCCCTCTTGTTTTGGCCAGCTCGGGGTCAGCTGGCAGGTATTTAAAGAGAAAATTTCTTCTGATCTATTGAAGGGCAAAAGGTGCTTTGAACTCAGACTAGAGAGGAACTTGAGTTCATCATGTCTGTATCCCAGACCTGTTGCTATAGCACCTGAAATAAATGAGTCATGGGAAACACGGCAGGGTCCAGGAACAGCCATATGTGCAAATTGGCAGTTGGCTTCATAGCCAGCCAAAAATGATAAGCTTCCTTTCGGCCATAAACCTGACCCAGCTGTGGGTGTGAGCAAACCTGTGTAAAAGGAGAGAGAAGGTTTATTTCCTTCTGGCATCTAGTTCATTTGAACCTGGAACTTTCTCAAACTGTCCTTATTTGAGAAATGCAAGGCACCAGAAACCCAGTAAGTAACAAAATGCCATACATCAGCCATCTAAAACGACAAACCTCAGAAAGAGAGAGAGCATCCATTCTGCTGCAAGAAAAGCAATAAAGAAGTGTGTATAATTTATAACATGCACCAATCCTGGGTCCTCTGAAAGCATTTGATATAGATAAACAGATAGTGGAGGCCATTCCTTCAGCTCCTTTGATTCACTATTGTTTTTTTCTTTTTGAGACGGCGTTTCACTCTTATTGCCCAGACTGGAGTGCAATGGCATGATCTCAGCTCACTGCAACCTTTGCCTCCCAGGTTCAAGTGATTCTTCTGCCTCAACCTCCCAAGTAGCTGGAATTAAAAAGACATGCGCTAATTAAAAATTAGCATGCCTAGCTAATTTTGTATTTTTAGTAGAGACGCGGTTTCACCGTATTGATGAGGCTGGTCTCAAACTCCTGACCTTAGGTAATCTGCCTGCCTCAGCATCCCAAAAGTGCTGGGAGGTGAGCCACCGCACTGGGCCTTGATTCACTTTTTTTTTTTTTTTCATTATTGCAAAAACGAATTTTAATTTTTAATCTTTAGTTTGATTTAAACATTGCTTTTAGTATGATGCTGACACCAGCTGTGCAGAAAGGGCTCTGAAGAGATGTTCATAGCAGCACACACCTGTGGCTCTTCTTCGGTTCTGGAGGCTCCAGGGCAGCCAATATTGCTTCGTCAAATACATTCTTTAGGCCTTTCTATGTGAATGCAGAACACTCCACATACTTGACAGCCTTCAGGTCACGGGCCAGCTTTTCAGCAGTCTCTGGAGTGATAGGCTTCTGTTTGTTCTGGGCAAGTTTCTCAATAGTAGAGGAGTCATCTCTGAGATCAATTTGGGTCCCAACAAGCAAAAAAGGAGTCTTTGGACAGTGGTGAGTTATCTCAGGCACCCACTTTTCTTTCACATTTTCAAATGAAGATGGAGAAACCACTGAAAAACAGACTAGAAATACATCTGTTTGTGGATAACTTAGCGGTCGTAATCTGTCATAATCCTCTTGCCCTGCAGTATCAAAAAGTCCAAGAGTATATGGTTCTCCACCAATCATAACTGTGACTGCATAGTTGTCAAAAACAGTCGGTACATATTCTGATGGAAATTTGTTTGTTGTGTAGGATATCAGGAGACATGTTTTACCAACAGCACCATCGCCCACAACAACACACTTAATTGTCTGCATTGCTGAAATAGTTTTGTATCCACTTTAAATATTTCAAATCTGATGTTAACCTCAGCTTCTCCACCGGGGCGTTGGCAGCACTGTGCGGGATCTCCTCCGATTCACTTTTGAATATACCAGTTCATCCATAATTAAGAAGAGTAAAGACACCAAATAGATTTGTAGGTATTGTTCATGTTTCTGACATATTCCAGAATTGAATATACCAGTTCATCCATAATTAAGAAGGGTAAACACACCAAATAGATTTGTAGGTATTGTTCATGTTTCTGACATATTCTGATGGAGCCTAAGAAAGCCACAGCAGCAAAGTTGGTGGCTCAGTGGCTGTTACTTATGATAACAGCTACCCTGGTCACAGCTGTGAAAAGTAAGGTAGCTAACAGTTTCGGGTTAATGAAAATTCTAGTAGGACTAACCGAAACTTTTATAAAGCAACACCAAGAACTCAGAAGGAGACATAGGCAGGCAGTGCATATGTGTGTATACGTTCCTACACACAGTCACAAGCAGCCTCCCGACCACAGAAACTGCATGGATAGAGACAAAGGGGAAGGGGAATGTAAAACTCAGAAGCAGTAATGTGATTTTCATATTGCACTATTCAGATTAGCTGCTTATATTTGTGATTTCCTGCTGTATACTTAGAGTTTTTAAAGGAAGAATATATGTTTCCCATGTAAAAGCTTTTGTATATTCAAAGAATGAATATAGGGAAGATACACTAGTGAAGGTAAACAACATCTTTAGTAAGGAATTTATTTGCAGAAAGGCAGAGGGGATGTTGTAGTGAAGAAGGGACCCAAGACAATACAGATGTAGAGCCCTGAGTTCCTAAACCCTCAGAGAGCCACTTCTCCCACCCCCATCTTGGAGTTCTGAAGGCTAAAGATAAGCTACTATAACCAAATGACCTTCTTGTTTCCACATTCCTGTCCCTTCAATTCACTGCCAAATTAATTCTCCTAAATACAGTTCAGATATATGACCTTTTTGCTCAGAATTCTTCTATAGCTTGCCTTTGTCCACTGAATAAAATATAGATATGTTAGTTGAGATGTCAATCTTGACTCCCTGATATTGATATTTTGATTCTCATTTCCTTCTCTCTCTCTATCCATCCATCTCCACACTTTAGTTCAATGACCTGCTCTCCATTGCCTAGAAGGGTCTGATGTTTCTCCCTTTTCTTTGCTCCTTCTCTTCCTTCCTGATCAATGCCCCCCTCCCTTGAGCTCCAGCTTTGTTGCTGAATTCTTGTCCATCTCTCTTTCCTATTTCAACTACCACCTTCTACATGAAGCCTCATCTAATAACCTTGATCTGTCCTCATGGATCTTTTAATTCTTATAGCAATTTATATTTATTGTATGACATTGATTACACATCCCCTTGCATTATATGCAAGATAACTTTATATATTATCTTTTCTGCTAAGTTGAAAACTCTTTGACTGGGCTTTTCATATTTGTTTTACTTTTCTTCCTGCTTTCACTTTTTTTAAAATTGTGAAAAGTAGCATATAATTATAAAAGTGCACACAACCAAAATATACTACTTAATACATTATTATAAAGAGAGTAGCAAATAATTAGCACCAGGTCAAGAAATAAAACATCGATAATACCTTAGCAGTCCGCATCACTTGTCCCCATGGGCCCCTTCAACTGCCTTCCACCATATTTACTTGCTTCTCTTTCTTAGCACCTGCCACAGAGGTTCAGGCTTAGCAAGTGTCAGGAAATGCTTGAAAGATAAAGGAATAGTTGGTGAGCGAGGTACAACCTCAGGGAGCATCAGATGAATTCATTATTATCGTCACTGGAAAAGGGCCTAAACTAATTTCCCTACCTAACAGCAGGTCAGAAGTCGCTTTCATGTATACAGGATGCATTTTCTTCCAGGGTAAAGAATACCTGGGGCCATGGAATCAAAGTCTTAACCAAGGAAAGGCCCTGCTGTGCTGAGTTGTATTTTAAGCTGTTGGGAAGTTAGAAATAGTGACCCTCTTTAGGGGTTCTTACAGAGACCTAACAAAACCATGCAGGCGCCTGATTCGTGGGATCCAGGAGAAAGTTCTAAGGGTTGTAACCCACCTCTTAGTAAAGTCAAGATCCTGAAGTTGAATCTGATTTTCCAGATTTCTTGGAAGTCCCAGTTGGGAGAGTATCTAGAGCAATCCAAGCGTAACAGAACCAGGGAAGATAACAGCATCTCATGCCATCTTGTTGCTGTGACCAGTCACCTTCTCAATATTTATGTTTTATTTTTATCTCTGTATTAGAGAGGCACTATTTGTGCACAGGCTGTTAAAAAAAGTTCTGAGGGAAACACGCTTCCAGCTGCTTCCTCCTGTTTTCCATCTGCTGCATTTATGCGTCTTTGTATGCATTTAACTGTTGCTTGTTGGTGTAATTGGGATTTTCTGAGGACAGGGAAAAAAAATTCCCTAAGGGGGGGTTGCGAGTTCAATTGATCTGAAAGAGATTATCTTGGTTAGTCACTAATAAACATTAAATTTCGAATTGCAGCAGTAACATAAGCACCAAGTAGCTTCAAGTTTTAAGAGTTAACTTGCCTCAGTTATATCTTTGTATTCCTATATTTATGCATCAGCTACGCTTTCTCCCATTTAATCTTAAATATGTAAATCCTCAGTTTATCTGGAATTACTTAGTGAAAGGCTGATGTGTGAGTGTGGCAGATTATAATATTCCATCGCCACCCCTGATCCTCTTTACCTCTTATTCTTTTCATAGCAGATCAAAAAAGCTGTGTGCGTGCCACAAGAATATATTATTTTAAGAGACTTGGACTTAGAAATTGATTTCCTTGATGAGAAAAAGAAAAGTCTCCTTCTGACCCAGAGGGTCACTTTATAATCCTGTCACTCGACATCAAAAAAGCCTTTTTTTTTCTTTTAAGAGAAGATGAGAATATTTCTGAAAAGGAATTAATTTTTCAGCTCCAGTAAAAACAGTGACTTGCAGACTTAGACATTGCGAGAGGAACGGTCCTATTCAGAACACATCTCCTGTGATTAGCACAAGCTTCTGATATATTTTAGGGTCAGGCAGTTTTAGATGGAGATTGGGATTTTGTACCATGGGACGAAACTGATATTTTATTGATGATTTTAAGGCTTAAGCTTGAGTCTCTGCCTCTTTCTTTCTCTTTTGTAAAGGGTTTTTACTGCTTTCAAATATATAATGACAGTTTATGGAAGCAGTCTATCTTCCTTGTGTGTGGATTTAAATTAATAGGCTATTAAACAGCACGTGATTTTTATCACCATCCGATGATAGTTTGACTCACAACAGTTTTTGGTGCATTGCAGGGGACACTTGTACCTGTGCCCGAATTACCTGTCCAACTAGAGCAGTGGTTCTTTTTTTTTTTTTTGAGACAGTTTCGCTCTGTCACCCAGGCTGAAGTGCAGTAGTGTGATTCCCGGCTCACTGCAATCTCTGCCTCCCAAGTTCAAGTGATTTTCCTGCCTCAGCCTCCCAAGTGGTTCGGACTACAGGTGTGTGCCACTACGCCTGGCTGATTCTTTTGTATTTTTAGTAGGGACAGTATTTTACCATGTTGGCCAGGCTGTTCTTGAATTCTTGACCTCAGATGATCTGCCCACCTCAGCCTTTCAAAGTGCTGGGATTACAGGCGTGAACCACCTCGCCTGGCCTAGAGCGGCGGTTCTTAATCCTACTACACATTTAAACCACCTGGAGAGTTTCACAAACTACTGATGGCTGCGCCATGCTTCTGGAAATTTTGATTCTGTTGATCTGGGGCCTAGGCCTCAAGGGCATTTAGAAGCTTCAAAAAGTGATTCTAATGACCAAATAGAGTTGAGTACTACTGAACTAAATTCTGAAACCAGATGGCATTCTAGTATTAGGAAGTATCTGCTACAAAGCTTTGACGTTTGCATTTCTAGAGTCCCTTCTTCAACTTACTTACATAAAGGTATTTTTAAAATTAATTTTTAAAAATATTTATAATTGACAGGTACAAAGTTACAGTTAGACAAGAAGTTCGGATGTTCTGTTGCACAGTAGGATGATTATAGCAAATAATGTAGTGAATATTCTAAGATAGCCAAAAGAAAAGATTTTAAATAGCATTACCACAAAGAAATGATAATTATTTAAAGTGATGGATAAGTAATTATTTTAATTTGATCATAAAGGTACTTTTGATGAAAGATTTCTAATCTCTTTATTAATATGAAATCTCAGAGCATCTATTTGAATTGCCCAAATTAATATTGGAGTGTGTTTTACTGATGGATAAAATGAGGTTAAAAATCTTCTCAATTTAGGAAACATGTCTATTTGTGTGTATGTTACACGTACATTTATACACACTAACATAAAAAAGTAATATGTGATGAGGTATTAACGAAATAGTAGAATTTAAGGTTCTTGCCAGGCCTTCAAGCCCTATCCAAAATTATCTCTGCCACAGAGGCCAAAACTTCCACCATTAGTGATTCATTTCTTAGTGTTAAGCTTGTTACCCCAGTTGTTATCTTTAAAAATCACTTAATTCCTGAGGAGCCTGGTGCCCTAGTGGGAAAAGGCATGGCAGGTCTTTCTTGGCACAGGGTTGTGGAGAAAGGCATGGCTGGGGCCAGCCTTACAGGCATGTGACCTTGCCATGGTTAGAAGGGCTCTGTGCTTTAATATTCTGCTGCCATGATGTTGAAATTTTTAATAATATTTTAACAAGAGTCCTGCTGATTCTGGGTGTGGCCTCCAAAGATAAATTGTTCGTTGCTCTTTTTTTTTTTTTTTTTGTTCTGTCACCAGGCTGCAGTGCAGTGGTACAATCTTGGCTCACTGCAACCTCTGCCTCCTGGGTTCAAACAATTCTTCTGCCTCAGCCTCCAAGTTAGCTGGGACTATAGGCGTGTGACACCACGGCCAGCTAATTTTTATATTTTAGTAGAGACAGGGTTTCACCATGTTGGCCAGGATGGTCTTGATCTCTTGACCTTGTGATCTGCCTGCCTTGGCCTCCCAAAGTGCTGGGATTACAGGTGTGAGCCACCGTTCCCGGCCAAAATAACTTTTCTAAAACCAGGAGTAGCGTGAG